ACCCAGAAGTCCCACCTCTCTTGGTATCTCTAGGAGGAAATAATCTCAGCTTTGGCAATTACATATGGCATAGCAAGTGGGAAGGATGCATTCTGCTTATGTCTGCCTCACTCCTGGTAGAGGTCACGGGTGAATATTGTTCCAGAAGCTTCTTACCCTAGGCTCTCAGCATTCTTATACGAACCAAGAACCTGCTAGATTCTTACTTGCTTCCTTTCCATCTACAGAGTGAGAATCCACACAAATATCCTCGGTGCCCAGATCCACAAACTCAATGCCACGTATCGATTTCTCTGATGGCTCCATTATCCCATTTATGTCAGTCTTCACAAGAAGTCCAGGATTTTGGGGAGACACTCCCAAAGTTTCATTCCTCCAAGGGGCCTCACATTTCTTCCGTCCTGAATTTTCTGTGTGCCCAGAAGTTCTTAGGTCTTTCTCCCACATCTAATCTATCATCTTTCTTTAAGATTTCTTTCATGGGTATAGGTGTTGTGCTGTATGTATGTTTATGGACCTTACACATGCTTTTTGCCATTGGAGGCCAGAAGAAGACATTAGATTCCCCAGACACTAGTGTTACAGATGGTTGTGAGCCACCATACAGGTCCTCTAGAAGAGCAAGTGTTCTTAACACCAATGTTTACTTTTAAAAATTATGTCATGTCTTGGGGGGCAGGTATCTTTGAGGAACAGAGACATGCCTAGAGCTATGTTACAACTGGTTGCAAGCCATCTGCTGCGGATGACAGGAACCAAACCCTCTGCAAGGGCATTGCACAATCTTGACAGTAACCGATCATTTTCCATTGCTACCACCTGGTTCAAGACTCCCCTGCAACATGCCTGAATGCCTGATTAGTCTCTCTCCAAATGTGTCCCCTATGATGTATCCTTGATACAGTAGCCAAAACCATCCTTTAAAAATATGCTCGGTCATATTACTCATCTGCTCACAACTCTCCAACAGCTGCCCACTTCCGAATGAAAGCCATGTCCTTGTGATGCCTACAAACCCTACATCATCTGCCCCCAGCCCTGGGGTCATCTGCAGCCTTCCTCCTAGTAATCCTGTAGTCTTTAACCAGTCACACTGGCATCCTTGCTGTTCCTTCCATCAGACACCCACAGAGCAGGGCTTAGCGGGTGCTGTGGAGATGAAGGGGGAGGAGCAATGAGGAAAGGCTGGCCAATGAGTGCCGCATCCGCAGCATCCGTCGGGGTTCTCTATAGTGCAGAACTGATGGAATGAACACATGTTACCAAGCAGGGGATGCAGTGCAATGATTTAGAGCATAGGGGTTAGGGAGCCCAGCAGCGGCTGTGTGCGTGCTGGGCAGGCAGAGAACCAGGCAGTCTGTGAGGCTGAATACAACCGTAATCCTATACTAGAACTAGGCGGCATCTGAAGTCCTTAGTGAGTTTCTGATCTTCAGTCCATACTGCAATGCTGGAGTCCAGTCTCAGTGAAAGATGGCCGCAGCAGGAACGGACACCTTCCACACCAGTGAGAAGCTGGAGCAGGCAAGCGGTGCTGTCTTCACTCCAGAATTCTTTGTATCTGGGCCACCAGCCAGATGGGCTGTGTACTGGAAGAAGGTCTTCTCACCTCATTTAACTATTCCTTGATTCACCCTCATAGGCACTGATTCCAGATTTAGCGACAATCACATTTAACCAGCCTAGGTGTTAAGTTACCATTACATAGGAGAAATAACAGTTGGTGAAGTAGAGCTTTGTGGTCACGTGTTAGGATAACCCGAGGGAAAGGGTCAGCCACAAGATGAACTGTGTCAGTGGCCCAAATTCTGCGAACGATGTCATCATTCAAGTTGCTGCACTCCAGGAAAAGTCAATGTATCTTAAAATCACGTGGGGAAAAAACACTTTGTATTTAAGTGTAAAACAGTATGGGCTGAGAAAATTTAGCATAGGTTTTCACCTGCATGAACTAACTGTGAGGACAGCGGGGTCACACAGGGTGTAAGACAATTCAGTAGTCCCAGACAACAGAAGGCATCTAGCATTTGTGGCTCCAGCCACTCCATCCAGGCAGTATCATTTTCCAACCAGCAGCAAGAGCAAACTCACCCTCACACCTTTCAAACACAGCTCCCTGGCCAGTTCAACATCCCGTGGCCTCTTCTGTGTCACTGTGTCCCCTCTGTGTGGCTCTCCTGCTGGCATATCCCTCCTTATTGTAACGTCCTTCCTTGGCTCCGATGGGCTTCACCCCTGCAGCTCCTACCTGCCACTTGACCCATCCCTGCCTGCCATCTTCATAGGACTCCTCCCCTCCTCCTGCCCACCCCTGCTGCCCTTCCCTTTGTCTCTACACAGACTTTCCAACTTCCTCTCCTCCGTACATGGCTCCTAAAATAATGGATCACCACATAACATTCGAAGTAGCATTTCCAACTGAATGTGGTCCTTCCTGCCTAGAAAGCCTCGTGTTTGGTTCCAAGACAAACTGGGCATCTTTTTCTAAAACTCTGTATTCCAGTGGCTGTATCTGTGTCTGAAACAACAACCACATCGTTAACCTATAAGATGATAACTGCCTTGGATTCGCTCCTCGTCCTCCCCCACGTGCAATTGTCTGCCTTGCTCTGCCTATTTTTCCTCCTAAGCCTCTCCTAGCTGCTTCCTATCTAGTTGAAGACAGTGCCTCCAGCTTAGAGCACAGTCACAGACTCCTAACACAGCTTCCCCTCCAATTCACTTCTTGATAATTCCACAAAAGGAATTTCTGTAGATAATAATAGTAGCTAGCATTAGCTCAGGGCTTATAATAGGACTCGTACTATTCTAAGTGTCGCCTGCCTATTTTAATCTGTGCTGCCACTCACAGCCATTGTTACACAACTGGTGTTTCTTGCATTTTAATACCGAGGTCAAAGAGATTTGGAGAGGTTAAGTAACTTTTGCATGCCTCCATCGACCTAACCTGGAGGTGACAACACCTGCACTCTGGGTCTCTGTGACTTCTGAGGCCCTGGCTTGCACGAGCCTTCTTTCTGACCCCACTGCATCATATTTCATCTTACTGTCTTCACGGCCATCCCCCTGCCTTCGCTCTCCCAACGCACTGGGTGACTACCTGTGTATCTACCATTCCTGCACCCATTTCTTCATTCTCTTTCATTAAAAACAGAATTTCATAAAGTACCTTCTGGTTCCCCTCCCCCAGCCCCCCAAGATTCTCCCTACCTCCTCATCTACCCAAATCCACACCTTTCTTCTTCTTTCTCATTAGAAAACAAATAGGCAAGCCAGGCGGTGGTGGCGCACGCCTTTAATCCCAGCACTCGGGAGGCAGAGGCAGGCCGATCTCTGTGAGTTCGAGGCCAGGCTGGACCGACAGCCTCCAAAACAATACAAAGAAACCCTGTCTCGTAAAACCAAAAAAAAAAAAAAAAAAAAAAAAAAAAAGAAAAAAAGAAAAAAAAGAAAACACATACGCATCTAAAAATAATATGTAAAATGATAAAATAAAAAAAACAAGACAAGTAAACAAGCTAACAGGAAAACAAGAAACACATATAGATGCAGAGACAAACGTATTCACACACATAGAAATTCCATAAAGTCACAAGGATGGAAACCACAAAATATTAGCAAAAGACCAAAGACCTGTAAGGTTTAAAAAAAAAAAAAGCCAGAAAAAGCATTGTGAGACAAAAAATCAAACAAAACAAAACCCTCCAACAGCACCAGTGAGTTCATTTTGTGTTGTTGTATAACCAAGCGAGGCTCTATTGAAGAAAACTAATTTTCCTTTGCAAGCAGTTATCAATTGGAGATAGCTTTGGGTTGGGGATGGGGGCTCGTGCCCACTGGCACCCCATCTGGCTTAGACCTGGAGCACCATTCTATCTATTTGCCAACCGTTTCTGATGGGGGCACAGTGCATGGTGTGTGAGCATTTGCACACGTGTCTTTGCATGTGTTCTGGGTGAGTGTGTGTAGAGGCCAAAGATCTACAGGTGCTGCGCTCATTTGTTTGTTTGTTTGTTTGTTTGTTTGTAACGGCCTCTCTTTGGCCTGGAACTAGCCAAGGATCCCAAGCTAAGCTGGCCAGAAAGCTTAGGGATGCTTCTAACACTGCCTTCCCAGAGTTAGAGCTGAAACTGGTGCTATTATATCTAGCATTTTGTTGTTGTTTGTTTGTTTTTTAACTGCTGTAAATGACATCTGCCATCACCTTTGTGGCTGGTTTTTCTTACAATGGGCCTAATTTCTAGAGCACTCTCTGGTATTTTTACACTTCACAGGTGCTCCCTTTTCCTGCCTGCGCCTGCTCACCAGCCCTCCCCAGCTATTTCAAGAAAGTGCTCCACAGAAGTCTCTCTCCCTTAGCTCTCTGTCCTATAGCTAGCTGTTCCCAGCCTCCTTCTCCCATTTGGTCCCCCTAACAACCCAGAGGAGGGTTGGAGGAGCAAGTGACAAAATAGGGCTGACTCCAGCCTCCTCAGGTGCAGACACACAAAACTTCATCTTTAGCTTTTCTTTGGCCTGGAACTAGCCAAGGGTTGCTTTATGGATCTAACGGAACTAAGCAAATGAGTAAACAACTTTTTTTTGGAAAGAGTGCTTCTGTAAATGGAGAGTCCAATTACCCTCTGATGGAGTTATGCAATGTCTCCAACGAGAACACAGGAGCTCCTAAGCAAAGTATGCCACACACGTGTTCACAGGGAGGAGGAAGCGGAGCCCTAGAAAATAAGGAACTTGGCCTGGGAGGTCGCTTGTGGTCATAATTGCTAACGTCCGGCTAACACAGCTCAGCGGGGTTGTCCCCAAGAAAATGGTGTTAACCGAAAACCTCCACGGAACTCATTTTTCCCGGGAAGGGTGCCCCTCCCTCCTGCTCCTTGGAAGTTTTGAGCCATTGGCAAACGTCCTCCTTGGAATCCCAGCGGCTTGGGTTCTTTCCCCCTCTTAAGTCTCTGCCTCCCCACCTCCTCCGCCCCCATCCCCTGGGGACCCCTGGGGCCACGGTGGACTACAACTCCCGGCGTGCCGCGCGCGCCTGGCGTTTCTCTGGGCTCCGCGCGTGGCGGCCACCGAGCGGCTGGGCGGGAGGTAAGTGATGGGCTCACAGGCGGTCCTGGGGACGCGCCCGCCCTCCCTCCTCTCCGGGATGAAAGGCACCAGTGAACACCAGGATAAGGACAAAACCAATGCAAACCAGAACAATCCGAATTACCCCCCCAGGCGCCCTCCCCGCGGTCCCCGCGTGCCCGGCGCCCCGCGGGCGTGCACTTTGTCACCTGGAGCGGAGCAGGGCAGAGCTGGCGGGGCGGGACGGGACCCGGTGCTGGGCTCGGTCCACACTCCTAGGAGCTCCCACCCAGGGCAGACCGCCCGGTCCTCCCTCCGAACCTCCGCAGAAACTTTCCCCTCGGTCCCCCGCGCCACCGCGAGTTGCTTAGCCGACCGTGGGCGGGAGGACGCGGGTCCTGTGCCCTGGAGACGCCCTGCTCCCGGGACGCCTGCAGCACTGCCCTCGGGGACTTGGGTCCAGCACGGGACCAGGCGAAGGTTCCTACAGCACAGCCCGGCTTTCCTGGGCCATCTGTGCTTCCTGGAGGTGGGTGCCGGTCACTGCAGAAGCCATCTCTCAAAGTACCTATATAGTCCCCCATCCGTCCTGACTGGCCTCCCCTCCCCCACCCCCTGGAGGGCGCTTTCCAGTGGACCCCAAAGGTTCCAGAATCCGGAGGCCAGGGTATGGAAAGTTACCTGGAAAGTTACCTTAGTGTACAGATGTCTTGTTCGGGCAACACCCCCCCACACCACACACACACACCACACACACACACCACAAACACCCCACATGTTCTGTAATCACCAAGCACACACCACTTGCATACAGCACACAACAGTACAGTGCTTTGATTCCCGCAAGTACAATGCTGACATCCATGTCCTTATAAGAGCAATGGCTAATGCCCTTGTTAGCGTGTACAAAGATGAGAGGGTGAACACACACACATTCACACACTCACACACACACGTCAGCTTATTTCCAAAGTCGGAAACCAGCTGTTAAGTGAAACCTGTTACTATCATTTAGTACACCTTTGTGGCTCACCCATGATGAAACGGGACGGATTTCCTGTAACACTTCCAGAAACACATTTATTTAACAGGCAAACTTTTGATCAGAGCGGGCAGGAAGGGGGAGGATGGCGTTTTTTTAATGTGAAGGGGAAGGTGTTTGGAGAAACCTCACAGAGCCCTTGAGTGTACATGAGGAAGACTCGGGGTTCCCACATCTCTGACTCTTCCCCTTGGAGACTGGTGGTCGGAGCCGTGCTTTTGGGGCACCCTCCCCTGGCCCTCCTGCCCACCAGACGTACAGTTCAATGCCATTCCTTTTGGCGGAAGCTGGGAAGTAGGTCAGGAGTTTCACAAGTCCCAAAGTATGGATCTGTTGATGAGTTAGCGCTCCACCGCCCTCATTTAGGTCATTCATGATGGCGCACACTCTTGCTGACCCGAGCTCAAAACACTACTCAGAAATACTGAGCACGTGCAATTCACCCCTAAAAATTTATAGCCGCTTTTGCAGGAAAGAGAGCCTTTGAAGTTGTTCTCAGTTGTGGTGCTTTGGGAAAACGGAACGTTTCCATTGCCGCTCCTGAAAACCAGGTGTGTGGGTGAGTGGGTGGCTTACGAATTCAGGGTTCCTGTTGACCTTTGCTCTCTGAATGTCCCCCAAGGATTAGTAAAGCAAAGAGAGGCAGACCACTTTCTCCTCGGTTCTGCCTAAAATCAGCACATCACACTTGCAGAGAACAAAGGATCCTCAGGGTCCTTGTAAGGAACTTGAATTTTCCATATTTGGAGTGGATTTTGTTTGTGTTCTCGTTGTCTTTTGGTTTGGGTTTTTGTTGGGGGAAGTGTGTTGGGGGTTAGTGGATATCTTGAACTAAAAGTGTTGAAATGTTGATTGGTATGTATTTTCTACCCATGTACCAATGTCCATGAGGCTTATGGGATGAGAATGCCCCCCTCAATCCCATTAACAGTTCCCAGCTGACCCAGAGCACCGTAAGACTGACCAGGTAACGATCAAAAACTCACCCCAGTGTCTTTGCTCTACTACTAGGTTTCCTGAGCCGGAACTTAAGATGGCGGTAGTTCAGAACATCTTAATTATATGTGACTTGGGCAATGCCATGCACTCATGGGTTGGAAGTGTTGGCTGAATGGGGGGACTGGGGAGGTGCTAAGCTTTTTTCTTTATGTAACTGAGCTAAACCGTTAAAATTAAGCCTTGCTGGAGTGATTTTCTTTTGTAGAATTTGGTTTGGTTTGGTTTCAGTTGGCTTCCTTGGGTGAAATGTGAACATTTTCCAGAGCTGTGGTCTTCTGTATTCTCTCTCAAAGATGATGTTTCCTACATGGTGGATGGAGGGATTTGCTGGCCAGGTCAGAGCTTTCCTTGGCCTCACAAAGAGATTACTTAAAAGCCAGCTCTAGGAACTTTGTCCAAGCCTCTATTAGGAAAAACAAACAAACAACAACAACAACAAACTGATGCAGGGAACAATAACAAAAAAAAAAAAGAACCAAAAACAAAAACTAATGCAGCTTCTGTGTGGAGAGCCCACAAGTCTGGGCTTTCTCTGATTTTTCCCACGGGGAGAAAAGAAGACAATCTGAAGCATGGCACTGATACACAGAACACCAGTAAAGACTGCTGTGGCGACAGGGAATGGAGGGAGAAAATAAGAGGCTACTTAGACTGTACAGGACACGGCAAGGAGAATTCTGCCGGTTTGGAAGTGGTGATCCTTCCCTCCCACTAATTGTGCTGGGGGAGTTAGCCAAAGTGAACAGACACGCTGTAGCTTTAAAAAGCCAGCCATGAACCAGAAGGCAGTTGCCGGCTTGTGTGTGATTCCTAACGACATGTTGGCCCAGAGCCAGCCTGGTTTTATTTCACTGTGTCAAACTGTACCTCCTTATTGAATGCCTTTGCCAGACTACTTTGTGAAAGAAAACATTGGGGTTTCTTTGGCTGTTCTTGATAAGCCTATAAAAATGATATGTTTTAGTTGCTTCTAGGTAGGTTTCTTTTTACTCTTTCAGGAAAAAGAAAAGAAAAGAAAACTAATAGTAGTGATAAGGCACTGTAGTGTGCTGTTGTAGCGCCGCTGTGAGTTGTTTTGTTTCTGGGATGCTTAAAAGATGGTGAATGTATAAGAGTTTCCATCTAAAGTGCCATTCTTCTCGAGGCTAGAACAGCAGTAATCTCTCCCTGTCTACTCCGACTGTGTGGATATGCGCTAATATCTATATGTATATTAAACGCTGGGTTTCTTCAGCAGTGATCTTAGAGACTTAACAACTGGAAGGTGTGTGTGTGTGTGTGTGTGTGTGTGTTTCAGGAGTGGAGATTAGCCCACGCTTGCAGTATTGTTTGTTAACCATCCACTTCTGGAAGAAAGATAACATCTTGTGACTATACTGAACGATGTACTTGTCATGTCACAGTAATCCCTGGAGGAGGAATGCCGAAGTCTAAGTGATGAGAGAGGAAATGTATTTAATTTATGGCTTCAGCTGAATATAAGGAAACTCCGGGCCAGGGTTTTTATTTTGATTTTCATTTCTTTAAAGCACCCCTTCCCCATTTTGCTAATTGTATATTAGTTACGGAGAGTTTTTATTTTTTCCATGTTCCTCATCTGATAAACATAAAAATAGATATAGATATTACTGTGTCTCAAATGGTTTGATGATTTTCCATAAATCTGATAAGCTGTCTCTCCCACTCTCTCACACACACATCACCGTCACCCTTTCTGTGCTAACTTATCTGGTTGGTGTGCGTGTGTGTGTGTGTGTGTGTGTGTGTGTGTGTGTCTGTCTGTCTGTCTGTCTGTCTGTCTGTCTGTGCTTTCTGCTTCAGTCGGCATGGTCATCTCCCAGAGTTTTGCTAAGAATGATGAGGTAGGGGTACACTTTCTGATATAAGCTTTATTGAAGTCCCTTCTTCATTTCATTGAAAGCTAGAAGCAGGGGGAGTGAACAGACGAACAAACAGAAAGCCGTAAAAGAAAAGGGGAGAAAAGAAACACAGCCCATACCGGGAGGGGGCCAGAAAGAGAGGCCTGTCCTTCTCTGCTTGGAGTATGAGTTGGAATGTCTTCAGGGAGCAAGCTGGCTGGAGGAAGCCCTGCCAGACCTCACTCCTGGCTTGAAGAGAGGTTTGGGCTTCATTTGCACACTCTGACTGTCCAGGTGGGGACAGTCTCCTCCTCCAGTCCTCAGGTGTCTCCTGTCTCTCCAGTCAGCCGGGCCTGGAAATTGTTAACAGCCTCAGGAGTCAGCTGGTGTGAAGCTGTAAAGGGGGCTGTATGTTTCCAATCGAGAATATGTGTTCTCTCTCTAAGAATTAAACCCAAGCTTTTCTCCCTTATTGATTAGTTGCGGAAGTAGAGGACCCCTTCAAGCCTTCCCATGCTCTCTGTTGACATGGACAACCAGGGAACTGGCTGTGCCGGTGTAAAAAAGTAAGTGAAGCCGGCTTCTGAGTTCTGCCTCTGCCAACAGGGCAGGGATCCGGTTTCTGGTTTTGTTCTTCTTAGCTACTGTAGTATGGTGCCTGGGGGCCCGCTCATCTACAGTGGCCACCCCCCTTAACTCCAGTGTGTAGTCCAGCTCTGCGACAAGTGGTAACCAAGACGGGTATGGAAGGCTGATGGTATCAGGCTGTGGATCAAAGAGGCTTGGGGAATGCGGCGCTATGTTCTCATGTGAGACAAGAAACTGAGCAGGCAGATTCCCAAGTCCATAGGCTGCTAGGGTGGGCTAGAAAGTCCAGTCTGAATTTCCCTGTTTGCTCTAATAACGTCACCTCTAACGTCAAAGTGGCAGCGGGGGAAAGAAGTTCACTTCCTTAGATGCTAAGGTTAACATCTAAGGTGACTTTTCTATTTTTTTCCTTGAAGGTGAAATACTTCGATGGGTGTGGAGGGGGTCTCTTTGACTATCTCTTCTCCCATGTGACCCCCCCAATTATTTTCGCTCTCTAAAGGTAGTGTGTTGAGTTCTCCTTAATAGGAACA